GCTGAGGTGACCTGCCTGGATGAGCTCTTCGATACAGTCCCAGAGCGTGCGGCACTCCTCCATGGTGTGACCGTGGTTCCTGTGGTACCGACAGTGCTTGGACTTGTCGGCGCTGTTGCGAGTGTGACCTGGTGGTGGAAGGGCGAGTAGGGTGTTGTTGCTGGCTGCTTCCAGGATGTGGACTCTAGGTGCGTTCAGGGGAGTGTAGAAGTCATATCTCCCCCCTCTGTTTGCCCTAGTCGACTTCTTGAACTGGATATCGTTGTTGACTTTGATTTTATCCTTGTGCCCCTGTTCTGGCTTTGCTGGTCCTTTTTCGCGAACCTGGTCACGGAAAGTGGAGTGTTCCTCCATCTGGATGTAGCTTGCAGCGCGGGTGCGGAGCTCGTTCATGTCGCGGGGAGACTCACGACATAGGCTGTCGACGAATCGCTCGGGCTTGAGTGCCATAAGCATGGCATGTAGGGCGACCTCGGGATTCAGGTTTCTGATCTTAACCGAGGTGGCGGCAAATCGCTCCATGAACGCCGGAGTGGTTCGTCGTCGTTTTGTCTGAGACTGGCCAGGCGGCTGAAGTGACATGGTGAGGTCGGCTCGTCGCATACTGCGCTGTGAACCTTCTGACTAGAGTGCCGAAACTATCAATGGACTCGGAAGGCAGTTGGGTATACCAGTTGAGCGCGGCCCCCTTGAGCGAGGTTGGAAAAACCCTACACAAGATAGCGTCATTGTTAGTGTAGAGGTTTACCTGCGTCGTATACAGGTCGATGTGCTCATCCGGGTCCGTCGTGCCATCGTAGCGATCGAGGTGGAGAGGTTTCCACCCGTGAGGGAGTGGTGTCTCCATGATGCCATCCACAAAAGGGTAGCGGCAGAAGGTTGCCTGGTCTCCTACGACATGGGTAGGGGCCTTGCTGACTTCGTGGGCCAACTTGTGCGTTGGTGCATGAGACCGATGCGTGGTAGGCCGTTGAGTCGGTATCCTAGTCGCGGTTCGGGGTTGAGAGACTGAGTGCTCCTCTTCCTCATTGTGGTTGTTCGTATGAGGGGGGTGATCAGAGTGTCGCCGCGGGAGTTGAGCGCGAATCCTCTCGTTTTCCGCGCGCAGAGCCGCTAGGTCAGCCTCATTAGCGGTCCGCATTGCGGCTAGGTCGGTCTCGTGCTCGGCACGCATGTTCTCCAGATCGGCGTCTTGTTGTTGCCGCATCTGTTCGACCTGATCAATCAGCCTCCTCAATGCTGCTTCGTTATCCATGGTAGATGGATGATCTGGGTCGTCTGTTGCGCGTCTGCTATGGCTCCCGGTGCAAACCATAAGCGTGGTCGATAAGAGCTGTCTTGATCGGCCCCATGATGGGCGCCAAATGTTCTTACCGGGGATTTGCTATAGAGGTGATCCTCCGAATAAGGTCGATGAGCCTCCTTCACTAGTACGTTGATGCTCCAAGGTGGGGGTGGTACCTACAAAAGAGACTCCGATGCTAAAGTTAGGGTTTGTATGAGTATGAATCTCCTATATATGATGCACGTACCTTGATGTAAATTAGGGTTGCGTTGGGCCTTGGACCTGAGATTAGTTGTGATTTGATTAGATAGAGAATCTCGCCTAGACCGAGATTTCCCGAGATCGGTTACAATCTATTTAAGTGCCAAGCTGACGCCGCGTAGCGCGTATCCGAGGTCAACTCGTGCTGTGGTACCGAGCTCAGAGCTCGGCTTCGGAGTACGGATAGTACAGAAAATAATTGGGATTTTCCCTTTTATATAACACATACAACATACAAAGGTTGGGGACAAACTTGACTACCCATAAATTATTCGTCTTAGGGTGAGAATTCTCACTCCACCCTTATCTTTATCAACAAACAACGAAGAACGTGGGTTTCCAAGATGATCTCCTCCTGATTCTTTAGAGCGTAAGAGAAAAGTGAGAGCGTGAGTAGAAAACTAACATGTCTTTCTTTTTAATATTAAACCTAACTTAATCTCCCTCTAACTCATCCGTAGTTACTCTACCTTAATTTTGATTACAAATATTTTTCCCTCATATAATAATAATAATAATAATAAACGATAATAAATATTATATTTAAAATATAATCCTCAGATAACTTAATTAAAACAAATATATAAAATATAATTTCAACCTTAAAATACTCTATAACATAAACTCTTTAAATTTTATAAAAAAAATATTATTAATCTAATTGCTAAAACATATGATGTTACAATAAATACATGTATCCATCTCATTCAAAAACCTTGGAAATTAAAGAAAAAAAAGTATAAAAAAAAAGTGAAAGCAATCAAAAGAAAGAATGATACAAATAGTCCACCTTCCCATGATTTTAAAAAATGTAGAATTATTTAACTATTAAAATTAATTTTTAAAATGTGAAAATTTGAATTAGTTTTAATAAAAAAATGGCTTAATTATTTTTTATCTTTCAAATATTTTAATTGAGCAATTTTCATTAAAATTAGATGTTATATATATATAAATATATATATATATATATATATATATATATTTTGAAC